AAAAATTTTGGAACGGCCTGCTTCGACGAGTGGTAACTTTCGCTACGGTTGGCCGTTTCGCACGCCGTTAGGGATGGGAGAAACTAGGTCATGAGCACTTCGAAATGGTATTAAAAATGTAATATTTTGACTCCGTTTAACTTCTCGTAATAACCTCGCAAAATGGAGACAAAAAATAAGAAAAATCGTTTATATATTTTGGAACGGTCTGCTTTGACGAGTGGTAACGTTGGCTACAGTTGGCCGTTTCGCACATCGTTAAGGATGGGAGAAATTATGTCATGAGCACTTCGATATGGTATTAAAAATGTAATATTTCGATTTCGTTTGACTTCTCGTAATAATCCTGCAAAATGGAGACAAAAAATAAGAAAAAAACGTTTATACATTTTTAATACCATTTCAGAGTGCTTATGACCTAATTTCTTCCATCCCTAACGGAGTGCGAAACGGCCAATCGTAACGAAAGTTACCACTCATCGAAGCAGGCCGTTCCAAAATATATAAAGGATTTTTCTTATTTTTTTTGTCTCCATTTTACTGGATTATTACGAGAAGTTAAATGAAGTCGAAATATTACATTTTTAATATCATTTCGAAGTGTTCATGACCTAATTTCTTTCATCTCTAATGGCGTGCGAAACGGCCAGTCGTAGCGAAAGCTACCACTCGTCGAAGCAGACAATTCCAAAATTATATTAAATTATATTCCATAGGGACCATTTATACAAATTATCAAAGATTCTAACGGATGTTTAACGTTTGATGGATGGAAGGACCAATTTCGCAANAATTACCATAAGCTTCTAACGGATAATTTAATGGTTCATGGATGAAAGGACCAATTTCGCAAGAAATGTATGAAATAAGGGCACTAATGCCAATTTTAAAACGATAGGGACCATTTTAGCAAAGAATGTAAACGTTGGGACCATTTCTACTAATTTCCCAATTTATTATTGGAGTATTCTTTTTCTTTCCATTTGAAACATAACATCTCAGGAAAATGTGAATATTATCTGTGCAAATTTAGATTAGAAGTTTGTCGTGTTTCTTTCCCTTTGGATTGTCAGAAATTTTGTGCATTAATGCCATTGTAGATGGGGCGGTGGCACAATTGAATTTTGTTAGATCTTTAATGGGTCTGGGGCCCATAGGCATAGACTTTTCGAATAATAATGCCATTCGTACATTTCAATTCTTACATCTTTGTTGATAGAGTAATGCTATTCATCCTCACTAATAATGAAAATATAGTTTACGTGTCGTTAATGCAGCATTAAATGATATGTCCAAAAATGTGAATAGTTGAAAAATTATTTTAAAAAAAAGATCAAATCACAGTTCGAGATGTGACAAAATGTAACCCACGATGTATTTCTAAGTGTACACTAAGCATAATTGAGTAAAGATGAGTAACATTACTGATCCTTACAAATTTAGAATTACTTATTGAACAGTTTTTACTTGTCACAACTCATGTGACAATTAATGTATCATTGCCACATTCTCTAATAAATTTAAAATGCATCGAAAAATATGGTATTGATGTGTAACCATTACAAATAACATTGCTTATATTTGCTTAACTGGGAGATTTGCAGTGATACTCAAATGTCAAGTTCAGATTTGTTATCCCATTAAAGCTGACTTTTAATTGTCTAAATAAAATCTTAAAAATCTCAAACAAGATTTTATTGGGTGGCAAAAATGGATCAACATGTCTGGACTCTAACTTAAAAGACAGCGATTGCTTTGATTCATGAGATAAGGTTAAAAGATCCTGTTTGATACACATTCTTTCAAAATTCATTTTCAATCACACATTATTAAATAAAATAATATTTTTTATCCCATCAATAACTATTCCTTACTTTTTAACCACATATTTCTCGTTATATCACTATTTAAAATATATTATTTCTTCAATAATATCCTTCAAACACACCAAAAATATGTGTAAAGAAAGGAATTGTCACTAAATCAAAAGGGTAATTAGCACAAAACGTTAATAACTTTTAATATTATTGTATTAAATGTCTGTACATTTTTTTTTTTAACATTTTCACCATTCATCGCCAAATAATTCTTCCATCCATTGGAGCCTCCTTAGATTTTGGGCATACCTTATAAGCGCGTTTAAAAGTACCGATTTTGAGCGTTACAAACCGCACTCCTTCATATGCATCAGGAGTACATTGATGAGAAGGGGTTGGGGAGAGCTTGGACCCACTTCCTACAATGATGAATATGAGAACAATTGAAATTTTTGGGTAGTTATACATTTGTGTATTTCGATTATTAAAACTGTCCAACATATGTTTAAAAGTTTACTATCCGCCGATTTTGATTGTTTTTTAAAAGAATAAAATTAAATATATGTCCCTTTGTAAAAAAAATTTAATTACACACACTTATATAACTTAAAAAAATTAAATAACGTTAAATATTTTCTTAAAATTTTAAGTTAATAATTTTTCACTCATAAGTTAATTTTATACTTTTAAATAATTTTAAGTGATTTTTTTACTTATAAGTAACTTTTTTATATTTTATAAGTGACTTTTATTTTATTAATAGTATTTTTATTTTATAGACAATTTTCTTTTACATAAAATTGAATTTTTACTTATATTTAATTTTCAGTTATTATGTATTTTTTCTTTACTTGTAACTAATATATTTTTATTTACAAATTAGTTTTGAAGAATTGGTTGAAAATAGTTATTTTGTAAATGGTAAATTAGAAGAGAATATGTTAAATGTCCAAAACTTGTCGATTTGGTGAGGAGAGAGAACCGATCAAAATTACACTATTCAAATTTTGGATGATTTTTAAATCATCCAAAATCAGTGCCCAAAAAACTGGCAAGCATTGGTTCAACCCGTCAAAAATGATGACACCAAAAATCGGTGAAAAAAAAAAAAAAANAAAAAAAAAACTCCCAAACAGGCCCCTACCATTAGTTGTTTTGTTAATTCAATACAAAAAGTCAATTTTCTTTTCAAACACCAAAGATAAAATAGTCTCAATCCATTTATCCCCTTTTTTCTCACCTTCAAAATAGTTATTCCATAAATAACAATAACGTGAATATGAAAATAATTTATGTAATTATTACATTAAATAAAGAAAAATGATGTAAGGAATATTTTATTTTACAACAATGGCCGTTGTAATGGTGGATTATTGATAAATTTAGAATAGAAGATTAAGATGTATATTAAATCCCTAACTTGCTGCTCATTTGATATACCAAATCCAAAATAAAAAACACTTTAACTCCCAGCTTCAGCAGTAGCTATAGGCTATAGTTCCATCTCATAATCGAATTTCTCCAAAAGTTCAACTTCGTCTCTCCCTTTTGTTCTTCATTATGATCTTCAACCACAATTTCATCCTCTTCCGCATTCATATCACCCATATTTATATCTNCAAGCTTAGATATGCAATATAAGCACAACAGGGGCTAAGCTTGGAGAATTTGTGGTTGAAAAAGAAGGAAGATTTATTAATGTGATGGAAAATATTATTTTATTGAAGAATGTGTAGTTGAAAATGAGTAGAAGAATGAGAATGAAAATTTTAATGTGTACCAAACATGGGCTAAGATCTTGTTTGATACACATTCTTTCAAAATTCATTTTCAATCACACATTATTAAATAAAATAATATTTTTCATCCCATCAATAACTATTCCTTACTTTTTAACCACATATTTCTCATCATATCACTATTTAAAATATATTATTTCTTCAATAATATCCTTCAAACACACCAAAAATATGTGTAAAGAAAGG